GTTACTTATAATATTCCATTTTATCATTTTAATGTCTTTAGGCTCTGTAATGAAGCTCTTTTTATCGGTTATCTTATGCGGCATAACTAATTAGTTCAAACCTTAGTGGCTTAAAATAACATATTTATTATTTCAGGATTCTTTGGATCAGGATCCTGGAAGTGACTTAGCCAATGTTTCTGGATCAGTGTTTCTTACGCAGAAGATGTTGGCCAGGATGTCAGTTATCTAAAGACTTGACTAGAGCTGAAAGATTTGCTTCCAAGAGTGCTCATTCACATAGCCATTGGCTGGAGGCCCGTTTTTTTACTGCTCTCTGTTAGGAAGGCCTCAGTTCCTCACCACATGGGCCTCTGCAGTGTTGCTTGACTGTAATGACGCATGGCAGCTAGCTTCCCCTGGCTAACGAGTGAGTGATGGGACAGAGAGATCAAGCAGAAAGCTGCACAGTGCCTTTTCTCCCCTAGCTGCTGATGTTAACACATATTCACTCAGCTTTATTTTGTTTGTTAGAAGCAAGTCACAAATGCAGCCCATAGTAAAGGAGAGAATTGAGGCACCAACACTTAATGGTGGAAGTGTCAAAGAAATTATGGGCATATTTTATAGACACCTCCAATCCCAATACTGATAATGGTATTTTATATGTTTCTTCTGATGCATTGGGATGGAGGCTTATACATTTTATTGAAATGATCTCTTCAAGAACCTACTTTTGGTATCATTGATTTTTCACTATTTCTGAAGTACCAGTCAAGGTTATTGTAGGATACTCTACTGGGATTTCTCATGATTAGACTGAGGTTATGGGTTTTTGAGACGAACATCACAGTGTAAGTACCATTTCATCACGTCATATTAAGGGTACAGATTACCAATGTGATATATTACCATTGATGTTCGCCTTGATCATTTAGCTGAAGTGGCATTTGTTTGTTTTATCTACTAGAAAGTTACTGTTCTGCCCCCCCACCCCGCTCCACACACACACACACACACACATGCACACACAGTCCATACTATACTCTTCCTTCCCCCATACTGTACTGTTGGAGAGGAAGTCAGTATGAGCAGCTCCCATTAAGGAGTGGGGAGTTATGCTCCCTTTTAAGGTAGAGTGTGTACATAACTTATTTGATTCTTCTGCATGAGAGATTAGCTTAACTCTCCCATTTACTAATCCACTTATTGATAACAGTATGGATTCATTAAACTTATTTTATACTTCGGGTTGTAATCCATTCTTATTTTCTTTGTTCAAATTGACAGCTTTGGCACTGTCAATTATTCTTCAAAGAGATTTTTGAAAAATAAGAAAAGTCTTTATGTTTACTTGTATATTAACTATTTCTGGCACTCTGTTGTATACCAGATTTCCATCTGATTTCACTTACTATCTTCCTGAGTTCCTTTAATATTTCAAGTAGTGCATGTCTGCTGATGATTAATTCTTTTAGCTGTTTCATGTCTAAAAAATTGTTTCTTTGGATTTTTTGAAAGATAGTTTCATTGGGTATACGATTCTAGGTTGACTTTTTTCTTTTAGTGCTTTAAATATGTCACTTCACTTTCTTGTATTATTTTCGATGAGAACTCTTTTTTCTTATCTTTGTTAGTACTATGTTATTTTTCCTTTGGCTGCTTTTAAGGTTTTTCTTTTTATCTTGGTGTAGTTTTATTTATGTTTTCCCTCCACAGAGTTTGCGCAGTTTTTTTTTGTTTGTTTGTTTTAGATCTATGAGGCTGTTTATTTTCATTTAATTTGGAAAAACTTCAGCCATTATTTCTTCAAAAAATTTTTTGTTTCCTCCTCTCTCTTACCTGTATTGGGGACTTCAAATACATGCATGATAGGCCAATTTAAGTTGTTGCATAATTCATTAATGGTCTGCTTTTAAAAACAAACAAAAACAATCTGTTTTTTGTTTGTTTGCTTGTTTGTTTTTGGATGTTCTGTTTCTGTGTTTCAGGTACACTAATATCTTTTTTTGCAAGGTTTAATCTGTTAATACATCTAGCATATTTATCACCTTAGACATTGTATATGCATTTTTTTTATCTTTTAAATATAGGTCTTTATATCTCTTCCATGTGTATTTAGCATACTCATGCTTTCCTTAACCTTCTTGAATATCTGTACTATTGTAATAACTTTAAGAATTTTAAAGCAGTTCTATCATCTGTCATTTTTGTATTTCTCTTGATTTTTCTTTTTATTATGAATCTTATTTTCCTGCTTCTCTGCTACATGGTATATTTTGATTGAATGCCAGATATTGTGCATTCTACCTGTGGTGTGCTAGATATTATTTATTCTCTTAAATATTCTTGAGATTTGTTCTAAGAAGCAGTTAAGTTACTTGGAAATGGTTTGAATTTTTCAAGGTTTGCTTTTATGCTTTGTTTGGCAGAAAAAGAACAGACTTTGGCTCTATCATTGAGGCAACACTTGTATTTGCTGGCTTTAATAGTACAAGTTGCCCTGACTGGTTTGGCTCAGTGGATAGAGCGTCGGCCTGCGGACTGAAAGGTCCCAGGTTCAATTCCAGTCAAGGGCATGTACCTTGGTTGCGGGCACATCCCAGTGGGGGGTGTGCAGGAGGCAGCTGATCGATGTTTCTCTCCCATCGATGTTTCTGGCTCTCTGTCTCTCTCCTTTCCTCTCTGTAAAAAATAAATAAAATATATTAAAAAAAATAGTACAAGGTTTTCCACTTCGATGGGAACAAGCTCAACCTTGTGTGAGCTCCAAGATTGTTTTGCATGCTCCATTTTCATGGTTGCCCAGCTTTGGGTGGTTTTCTCACACCCATGCAGCAATCACTATTTAGCTAAAGACTCCTTTGGAAGAATCCTCTGAAGTTCTCGTTTACTCTGTAGTTCTTTCTTCCCCATGTATTTCCTCGTTGGTGCTGTACATTATGAATCCTACGTACCTTTACCTCCCCTAATTCACCCCTGTCTTTTTAAGTCAGGGAGAATGTTGGGCTCTGTTTCGTTCTTCATCCTTGCCCTGCAGCCTGAAAAGTCCCCAGG